ATGTGCTGTCCTGACATCACAAGAAAGCCGATGATGAAGGACCAACCGACTACAGCTGCTGAGCTGCCGCCATCCCCTATTTTTCAGATACCAGCTGGATGGAAGACGTGAGCTATGCTGGACCCAACTAATGTACTGATGTTGTTGATGTATAATAAAAAGATATCAATACCCTAATATGTGAAGTAGGAACATTTTTTGTATTTTGAAGTATTTTCTCTGATTTTGTTGATGTTTACTACAAAGAATGTCTTTTTTTTAGTCTCACTTTTTTCTATGAGTTCATTTGATCAATGTCTTGGACTATGAAACACGATGTTGTAGCTATATTACTGACTGAGATGAATTATTGTTTTGACATGGAAATGTAACACCTGTTATTGTTTGTAGAATGTGATTTGCAAGGTTGCCTCGGACACTATGCTACATATGAAGGATTTTTTCATTCTATGTTCACCTGCTATGTTTCCTTTTTCTCCTGGCATAAAAGCTTTGATCTTGGCGGGAGGTATAGTGAGCTTTGTCAGATCAAACTAGCGCCAGTAGAAAAAATACACCTATGAGATTGTTGTTTGTGAATGTGAGACTATGTTATCGCCCCAGGGATTATCTTTGACACCACACGTGATGTTGCTGTCTATATGTGGCATCAGTCTCTGTGATGAAGCTTTGGTCTTGGCGGGAGGTGTAATGACTGATTGTCAGACCAAAGCTTACAGCCCAGAATTATGTCACATATAACAGCGAGTACACCACAGACCTCGTGGTACCACCGCATTCCAGGTTGACACACCTCAGGTCGACCCAAGGGACCTGACCTCGCCTGCTAATGACGTGAGCCGGTGACCTACAACCGCACCTAGCCAAGACACCTGGCCAGGACCACACCTGCACACAATTAGCCAGATCAAACCAGTTTAGTGTTAATTGTTAGAGGTCAGAAGCCGGCTGGGCCGACCTCATATAAAGGCCCTACAGTCCCGTCCACGGGCATTCAATATTCCATTTCGGCATTCGGCATTACCATTCGGGATTCCATTACGATTCTCATTCTGGTTGCTGTCATCTCTCTCCCGTTCGGGTCGTCACTCGGTTCACTAAGCAGAGTCACGCACGTCCCCTCCCCAGGTCGGGAGGGAGACCTCCCGACCGGACCACGGCGTCGCCAGCTAAGCAGACTTTCCCATAGGAGGTAGCCCAGCCAGCACTCACTGGGCCTACGTCAGGGTACACGTGAGTCTTGTCAGAACGTCCTAGGGTGAGTTACCTACTGTGGGAAGTGTATTCATTCAGGTGTGTCCGAGAGTCAGTGTCAAGTAACGTAAAGCATAATGTGTTAGTACCCCGATATAATAGTGATATTAATGTGTCCATGTCATTGAGTGAAGTAATAAATAGTTGTATCAAGAGGTGTTTAACAAGTTGTCCCTTTAAGAAGTGATATATGTGTATTGACATACGAGATAAGATAAGCGTAGTGACGCTGTGCAAATAACATCCAGGCCACGCTACCAAGTTTCCTATCTTTACATTTCTACTCTCTATACTTCCTACTTATGTATGTAATTCTTCCTCTTGTCTCATTGTGTTTTGTAGCATTACATTGGTGGTAGCGAACTATGACGTTAACCCACGCCCCCCTCATCCCTTGTTATTGGTAACAATGTACTTAACGTAAACCCATGCCCTCCCCCGTTAGCCATAACACCTGGCTCGTTAGTTCAAAAGTGCGTAATAAGAAGTTCCTGCGTAGTAGCGTGAAAAGTGTCCTAGTGTGTCACCGTTACAGCTCAAGTAAATGTCTCTTGTGGTGGTATGTGCGAATTTTTAATAGAAATATGTTCAGTGCTTAACGTAATTTCTCAGTGTCACCCGCTATCTGTGGCATTCTCAGTAGCCCCAGGGCAGTTTGATTGTTGGTCAGTGTTGAATGTAGCCATTATGTTTCAGTGATGAAAGCGGTGTCTGTACTAACTGTTATAACTTAACATGTCTTTTAACCTACATCCTCCTCCCTGTCCTAATCCTTACCTCACCCTCCTTACCCTTCCTCCCATCCCTGTACTCTTTGACGCGCAGTGATAAATGATATTCAGTGTAGTGCGCAGAGCTTCACTCCCCGACCCAGCCTGATGAGAACATTGTCGGGACGGAAATGATAGTTGCCAAACATTGACCTAACATATAAAGTAAACTTTTTTTTTGCGAATGCACTTCCAACTAATCCATCACCCCTTTAGGATTGTTTCTCTGTCAAATGTCACTCACAGTACCACCCATGGCCAGCCGGACGTCAACCACAGTACATACGAGCAGAGAAGAACCAGCATGATGAAAGCAGCGTGATGAATGCAGCTTGATGAAGGCAGCACGAAACCCACCACACACCACGTCACTTCTTTCAAGTCCTCCCTTGGTATAGGATTAAGAAGATTTATATTTTTCTACTTTAGGAAGTAAGGAGTGTGGAATGGATCGCCACACAACGAACCCTGGTGAGCCCAGCCAGGGAGGGATTCACCACTGTGGAAGGTGTAAGACAGGACGGTCTTTGGTCTCGCCGACACTCACGTACGGAGGGCGAGCCCTGGTCCGCGGAACCTGCCTTACAGTCATCTAAGGAGACGACAGCCCAAACAGTGGACCGGCTCATCCCGGCCGGAGAGGGCTGACGGCAGATGAACAGAAAATCGTCTGGAATATGTTGAAAATGATGATGTTGCAGAGAAGAAATGCAGATGAAGCAGAAAAATTCATCTGGAATATGACGGAAAACGAAGATGTATAAAGAAACTCAGATGGAGCAGAAAAATTCATCTGGAATATGAAAATGAAGATGTATAGAGGAAGAACGCAGATGGGACAGAAAACTCGTCTGGAAGAGCATAGAAACCAGGAGGAAGTGAGAAGAAGTCAGAAGGTGTGGAGAAACGACCTACAAGGTGCGGTATGTGAAGGAAGAAGACAGAAGACAGAAGACAGAAGATGTGCTATGTGAAGAAAGAAGACAGAAGATGTGCTGTCCTGACATCACAAGAAAGCCGATGATGAAGGACCAACCGACTACAGCTGCTGAGCTGCCGCCATCCCCTGTTTTTCAGATACCAGCCGGATGGAAGACGTGAGCTATGCCGGACCCAACTAATGTACTGATGTTGTTGATGTATAATAAAAAGATATCAATCCCCTAATATGTGAAGTAGGAACATTTTTTGTGTATTTTGAAGTATTTTCTCTGATTTTGTTGATGTTTACTACAAAGAATGTCTTTTTTTAGTCTCACTTTTTTCTATGAGTTCATTTGATCAATGTCTTGGACTATGAAACACGATGTTGTAGCTATATTACTGACCGAGATGAATTATTATTTTGACATGGGCTGATAAGGAAATGTAACACCTGTTATTGTTTGTAGAATGTGATTTGCAAGGTTGCCTCGGACACTATGCTACATATGAAGGATTTTTTCACTCTATGTTCACTTGCTATGTTTCCTTTTTCTCCTGGCATAGAAGCTTTGATCTTGGCGGGAGGTATAGTGAGCTTTGTCAGATCAAACTAGCGCCAGTAGAAAAACATACACCTATGAGATTGTTGTTGGTAAATGTGAAACTATGTTATCGCCCCAGGGATTATCTTTGACACCACACGTGATGTTGCTGTCTATATGTGGCATCAGTATCTGTGATGAAGCTTTGGTCTTGGCGGGAGGTGTAATGACTGATTGTCAGACCAAAGCTTACAGCCCAGAATTATGTCACATATAACAGCGAGTACACCACAGACCTCGTGGTACCACCGCATTCCGGGCTGACACACCTCAGGTCGACCCAAGGGACTTGACCTCGCTAATGACGTGAGCCGGTGACCTACAACCGCACCTAGCCAAGACACCTGGCCAGGACCACACCTGCACACATCCAGATCAAACCAGTTTAGTGTTAATTGTTAGAGGTCAGAAGCCGGCTGGGCCGACCCCATATAAAGGCCCTACAGTCCCGTCCACGGGCATTACCATTCGGGATTCCATTACGATTCTCATTCTGGTTGCTGTCATCTCTCTCCCGTTCGGGTCGTCACTCGGTTCACTAAACAGAGTCACGCACGTCCCCTCCCCAGGTCGGGAGGGAGACCTCCCGACCGGACCACGGCGTCGCCAGCTAAGCAGACCTTCCCATAGGAGGTAGCCCAGCCAGCACTCACTGGGCCTACGTCAGGGTACACGTGAGTCTTGTCAGAACGTCCTAGTCCTAGGGTGAGTTACCAACTGTGGGAAGTGTATTCATTCAGGTGTGTCCGAGAGTCAGTGTCAAGTAACGTAAAGCATAATGTGTTAGTACCCCGATATAATAGTGATATTAATGTGTCCATGTCATTGAGTGAAGTAATAAATAGTTGTATCAAGAGGTGTTTAACAAGTTGTCCCTTTAAGAAGTGATATATGTGTATTGACATACAAGATAAGATAAGCGTAGTGACGCTGTGCAAATAACATCCAGGCCACGCTACCAAGTTTCCTATCTTTACATTCCTACTCTCTATACTTCCTACTTATGTATGTAATTCTCTTCTTGTGAGTTTTGTCTCATTACAGGGGTGACTATATTAAACAGGAAGTAGTTACTCAATTATAAGTTTATCAATATTTTTCACTGTTTTGAAAAAAAATGAATAAGTTATAATTTCAGCCAAAAACAAATAGTTCATATTTATAGAATAAAGAATATTGGATTATTTGGCCATAATCTAAGCGTTCGTGGGATAATGGTAGAGACTGGGATAGATTAATGGATATCGAAGCTTTGATCACCAGAGAGATACAACACCTGGGAGAAAACTGTTGCAATTGAGGTCCAAGGTCGCCAACCCTAATATATGAGTACGGCACTTTGAATGATATTTTCTCAGTAGAAAATATCTTATGGGTTACTTAGAAGTGTGTAGAGATGAGAGGAGACGAGCAGTGAAGAGTCTGAGGTGAGGTGAGGAGTAGGGTACAGAAGACCTTCATTTGGGGAGGTAAAGTGAGAGGTCTTACCTGTATGGAAAGATCTGATACACGCCGCTGCGGGTGTTGCCGGCCAGCAGCAGGTCGTGACAGTCGCGGGGCCTGCCAGGGACACACACATCATATAGTTAATGTGCTCTGTTCACTTATGAAAATTTCAGAAGTGAGTTACACTTATCGCCTGGGACAAACTCTTACACAGACAAGGAACTCATTATTGTGGCGAGGTGTCAGGTCGCCATTAAGTAGAAGTTTTCACCCAACATTAAGAGGGATTCTTCAGCCCTAAAGCTCACCTGTTGGTGGGAGTGTTGCAGCTGTTGTCCCCGGTGATTGGTTGCTGTGGCTGTAGTTGCTGTGAGGGAGACTGTTGTGGCTGTGAAGCTGTGTTGTCACCTGTAGAGAAGGAGGGGTGCCGTGTCGCCAGCTGCCTCACCTCCTGCTGCAGCTGTAGTAGATGTAACAGGACGGTGTTGATGGCGGCGCTGCACTGCTCGCCGGAGGTAGCAGTGTCTCGCCCACCCACACCCCTCATCTGTTGACTGACCTGCTCTAGTACTCTGCTGTGCCTCACCTGTTCGGTTTCTAGCAGGAGCAGCAGAAGTTGCATGGATATGTCACGGCGGAGAACACCCGCAGCACTCCCTGACACGTCCACGCTGGCCTGGTTCTCCTGAAGAGGTGTCAACAACGACTTGACATCCTGAACATGGTGGAGAGTATTATTGGTGACCGCCAGGAGCTGCTGTACCACCTCAGGACTAAGATGATGTGCTACACTCTCGTTCTCCTCCATGAGGGGCGTTCCGTGTGAAGGACCGAGATTCAGCACCAGCAACACCGTCACCACCAACACGCCTCTTAGGACCATCTTGCTCAATTATGTGACGACTCCCGGCCTCTGCCTTCTCTTATATCCTCCACACCTCACAGTCGCCACAAACTGCACCTCAGGAAGATGTTGGCTCTGCTAAGGAGCACAATTCGTTCGTTCAGTGTGTGGTTTCTCCCAAATGTTTAAATATAAATGTGTAGAATGTGCTTTACAGTCACTCTTTGTCTATGGGTAAACAAATAAACAGTGAGAGACAGACAGAGAGCCTGAGAGATAAAGAGAAAGAACACACTATTGGACGCGTTGTTTGCCACGAACAAATAAGAACCAACAGACGAAAAATAAAACACAAGTTATTTTTGGTTTGTTTTCGTAATCGGGAAGTTATGAGCTGAGTTGACGTGTGTTTGTGCACGTGTGTAGTTCAAGAGGCATGGAGAGAGAGAGAGGTCAAGTGTGTAGGTCAAGAGACTTGGAGAGAGAAGTTAAGACCACGGCGTAGTTTTAGGCTGAGAGAGAGAGAAGAGCTTCTAAGAGTTAGTTAATGATACACATGACATTAATAACAGAGGAGATAACAAGTACAATCATACAAATGATCGTACAAGTATGAAATTTGGTATGAACATTCGAGTTACTTATCACATCTTTGCGATTGTACATTCAAACTTCCCAGATGTCGCCTATTTTCCAAGATGGCCGCCAAATTTGCCTAACCAAAGACATTTGTACTGTCACATGTCTGCCCACACTGCTGTCTATGATTGGCTAATTAGGTGATACCCGAGAATGAGCAATGTCAATGAGGATGATTCTGGGCTTTATGCTTATATAAATTATCTAGTGTTTTGATTTACGATGTTTCTTTATATCAGTGTTATTTAGTTTGGGTTGTTAAAACATTATGTAAGAGCCATATTTTGTTTTATAGGGTATAAGATGTAAGACTTTCGATGTATTGTATTAAGATTAGTTGGCAACTGAGCCATATTTGTGTGTTGGTGGTGATGGCCACGGCAGAGCAGCGTGACCCACCGACTGAGCTGGTCCGCATGGACAACCAGGAACTCCAGGCCTGGTCTACTCACGCCGACGTGGGGTACAAGATAGCCTCCGAATTGGGCGTTAAGTAATTGGAGATATTTGGACATGGAAACTTGCTCTGTGGATGTAAATAGTGTGATATATGTCGTTTTTACACTACGAGTTTCCACAAGGCCTTCCTCTCTGCCTGAAGGTCCTGTGACAACTGACAATGACTAACGAGTCACAGGTAACAGATATGACTAACGAGCCACAGGTAACAGATATGACTAACGAGTCACAGGTAGCAAATATGACTAAGGAGCTACAGGTAACAGATATGACTAACGAGTC